GTCTCCTCTGGGCTGGGAGCCATGGCATGCCTACCCGAAAGTGTCCTCTGGGCTGGTAGCTGTGGCACACTGACCCAGAGGCCTCCTCTGTGCTGGGAGCCACAGCATGCCCACTTGAAAGGGTCCTCTAAGCTGGGAGCTTATCAGAAATAATTTCTCACATAACATATCCTGTATTTCTTTATAGTTGTGCCTGCATTGCATGTCTGAATCGTCTCCCCAGGTGCTTCCCACGCAGCCTGCAGCCAGCAGAAATCCTAAAGCACAGTGGTCTACTCAGCTGGGGAAGCTGTCAGTACTGTGGTCTGGACCTGAGCTAAGGAGCCAGCCTTTTCAGTATTTTTAAATGAATAAAAATAAAAACTGTGAGGAAATAACCAGCAATCTAAATGATGAGTCATTCAACCAATAGCATCTACTTTGTACAAGGCACCCTGGTGACATGGGTGGCAAAGACATGACTAAGAGGTCAGAAATCAAAGCTGACAGTAGGTCAGGTGAGGACTGTATATGTACACAGTCTTGCAAATTATAAAGAGTTAATGGTTGTACTAAGAATTCAAACAGACACGATATCTACCAGTCGGGTCAGAGAAGGCTTCACAAAGGCCATACAATCAGACCTGTACCTTACACCATGAACAGGATTTTGGCATATAAAGAGGGCTAGACAGAGGCAGGAAATCAATAATGAAATTGGAAGGCAAACCGCTCCTTGCCTGGATAACACTATCCAAGATTCATGAAGCTCTTACTATGCTAAGCCTATGAGCTAAGCAGATAAAGCAATTGAGTCTTAGAAGTTAAATGACTAGCCCAAGGTCACACAGCTACCACATGGCTGAGCTGGGATTGAATCAAAGCAGATGCTAAGGCTTCATGCTTAAGCCATCACAGACTCTATTCACGGAACAAAGACTTATTTCTGTAATGGAAGATGAGGCCAGAAAGTCAGGCTAGAGTTGAACAGTAAAGGGCTTCAAAGCCAGGAAATGACCCTGGCTTTGGTCACGTTAGCAATGAAAAGCAACTGATGACTTTTTTGTTTTTTATTTTTGTTTGATTTGGTTTGGTTTGGTTTGGTTTTTTGAGACAGACTCTCGCTTTGTTGTGCAGGTTGGGTTTGAACTCACTATGCAGCCCAGGCTGGCCTCAGACTCATGGTGATCCCCTGCCTCACCTTCCCAAGATGGTGGGATTACAGGTGTGCACAACCACACTCAGTCTGATGACTTTTTTTTGGTACTGGGGATCAAACTTGGGTCCTTGTGCTTGCAAGACTGATGACTTTTTAAGAAGAAATAAAAAGACATATTTGACAGGCATGATGTGCTTACTGAATGAATTAATCAGTGAATCAATTAATGAATTTTTAAGGTATATTAATCAAGCAGCCTGAATATATAGTAGATTGGAAGTAAGATATATTAAAAGAATGAAAGCCATAGCTCAATAAAACAACAAAAAAACAGGAAACATGGGCCTGAATGGGATAGTAACCAAGAGAAAGAAAAGGAACAAGCATGGAGCATGACCAGGCTTGAACAAGTGTCATGCTCCTGAAATATGCAAGAAAAAAGCAACCAAATAAACATGGTAGGTGTATGGGAGAAGAGATTCCGGATCTGGCAGGACCCCTAATGGAAGTGTTCTTTAGGATGAGGACACAGGATGGTGGCCAGGGATGAAAAAATTGGATTATGGGTCACCCACATCGAAGAAATCATCCAATCCATGACATGAAGAAAATTGCCAAGAGTAAGTGAGTATATAAAGACAAGTGGGTCTTATACATAACATTGAGAAAGAGTATAAGGTGTAAGAGGAGTCAGAAAAATGGCAGGTAACATAAATAAGGTCAAGAAGAAAAGCATTTTAAGAGGAGTGAAATTGGGGAGGGCAGGCTGAAAATGTTTGAGAAAGAGAACTGACAAAAAAGGTCATTTGATCTATTAAGTGACAAGTGACCACTGAGACAGGCAATGGTGGATGAAAAGGAAGAAGCACAATAGCAAGAAGTTGAAGACTGGTAAAGAGTGACAAAGTGTAATACAGGTCAGGGACTGTAAATTTAGATTCCAGCCAAAGGGGCCAGACAGATAATAAAGAAGGGAAAAAAGGCTGAGTATAAGATCCATGTAGTCCTCTGGGCTTTTCACTTCCCACATTTGACGCAGACATTGGTATAGAAAAACTAAGCAAAGCAAGAATGTGAGGCAGTGATAAATGGCAGCTAGCCAACAGGGAATGGTGAGCCACAGTAAACTGGAGAATGCATGCCCCATCTCCCTCACAGCAGAAACTAAAACTCGGCTCCAAGAGCCTGTCATCATGAGAGTACCAGCCAATGTTGCCAGTTCCCCAGTATGTCGAGAGAAAGAAAGATTCAGATTTTTATGCAAATCCCCTAATTTTTAAATGTTGGGGAAAAAATATGGCCTGGGCCAACAAATCAGGCTTATAGGCACCCTTCTGCTCATTGCCTGCCAGTCTAAGACCTCCTGGATCCATTGTTTTCATTAAGTCTGGCAATGAAAGAAGAGAAAAGTAGAAGGTGATTTGACAGGTAACAGAATTGAGTGAAGGATTTTTATAAATGCTTTCTTTGTTTTAAAATTATAAAGAACTGAGACCCACACCCCAACCCCCCACCCAGCCAAAAAGAAGATATCCTCATGATCAACAGGAAGAGAGTTGAAGGTCCATGAAAAGGGATGCACGGGGATTTAGCTCAGTGGTTTGACCACCTGCTGTGCAAGCACAAGGACCCAAGTTCAATCCCCGGTACCAAAAAAAAAAAGGGATGCAAACTAAAATAGTAAGGATTGGTTTTATTTTGTTGTGTTTTGGTATACTTTTTAAATAAATAACAATCAAGAAATACCTCCATTAAGTAAAATTCAGAATTAATTGTTCAACAAGAAATGATAATCAAAAAATATGCTGATGGGCCAGGATTTTGCTCAGTGGTTCCACTGCCTGCCTTGAAAGCCCAAGGACCCAAATTCGAGCCCCGATACCAAAAAAAATATATGTTGCTGTTACCTCCTCTTGTAAAGAGGCAGTTCATATAGGAAAACAGACCCCACTGTCAGCTAGGAAAATTGCATTATTAAAACAAAAGCTTTTGTGCCTGTGATGTGCCAATGGTGACTGTCACCATGGATAAAGGATACATCACTGAGTAGCCAGCAAATCTCCTTTCAAACAGTGGAAAACCCCCTTCTGTGAGAAGTAACTTAGATTTGGCACTCAAAATTCCTAAATTTTTCATCATTTGGAAGCTGGTGAATGTCTTCAGTGTACCAACCACAGACAGCCAGAATTTATCTAATTGTCCTGATAAAGCTGCCAGTGCTTGTTCTCCAAGTTGCCACAGTGAAGAGAGGGGAAGCAAGAGAGAGCAGGGAGTCTCTAGATTTTGGAAGCCATGACATGTAGGGCATGACTCAGGCTGGTTCTGAAAAGTCTTCCATACATCCATTCTCCAGACAAAACTAAGGCAAATTCAAATTAGGTGAATTGGTTGCCAAATTAGTTTTATATGTTTTCCAGCCCAGTATGACTCAGGAAAATTAGAGTTCTGGATGGAAGGAAAAAAGGAAGGAAGGAAGGGAGGGAAGGAGGGAGGAAAAGAAGGGAGCGTATGCGTGTGTGTGTGTGTGTGTGTGTGTGTGTGTAAGGCACATTTCTTAAATGTCTTTCCAAATGCTGTGAAGAAATAATTCTTCTTTCTTACCTGGTAGTCGTCTTGTTTTCTGGGTTGTTTTTAACTGAGGAAGAAAAATGCTCATCTGCCAGCAGGGACGGAGTGGTGGGCTGGCGTCGTGTGTGTCCCTGTGGCCCAGCCTGGCCTGGCCCTCTGCCTCCTTGCCCGCCCACCAGCCCACCAGCCACACCCTGAGCAGAGCAAGGGGCACCTCTTCTTGCTCTAAGTCAGGAGTCTCAAGTGACATTTTTTCAATTAAGAGAAAAACCCCATTTCTAACCTTGACATGCTCCAGAGGTCCTGCCCCTCCCCTGTCCTCTGCTGCTGCTAATGACAATATAATGGCTTACTCTGCTACTCGAGAGCTATTTTTATGTAATTAATGTATGCTTTCTTGTTTATAAATGCTTGATTTTAAAAAGGAAAAAGAAACGTGGCATATTTATCTACTTCACTGGGTACCTGTCACTCCTCCTACCCCCTTGGAATACATGACATTATACAATAAAGGATTGGAGAGCAAAAAAAAAATTCTTCTCAATATATCAGTGCTCTAATACACTGATATTCTTCCCCTTAGCTTTCAAGGTTCCCACCTTACATATCCAACTAATTCTCCATTATTCCCAAAGAATGTCCTTTGTTCCTGCAGGCCAGCCATCCTAGAAGGGTGGTAATCTACAAAGACACCATCTATTTATCAAATATTTAGAGAGCACATATTATGTGCTGGCACTATTCAAGGTGAAGGGAATCAACAGTGCTGTTTGATGTTTGTCACTGACATGACCATGGTCCCTGCCCTCATCATACATACCAAGTTTGGTTCTACTTCTTCCATCACCCTCACTCCCCGGGGCAGGAACACCCACATTCCTGCTCTTTGCCTAAAAATATTTCCTGTCCTTCCTTTTCCAGTAAACTCTCCCTCTCTATTACTGATTAGTCTATCAACCTCTTCTCTAACCTCATCAACTCTTACAAGCCTACAAAAGTAACACAGCATTTAATGATATATTGCCCTGCATCACTTGTTGTTGTCTCCAGAATGCCAACTTTATCTTTCTAGCTAGGCTATAAAGCCCTTGAGGAAAAGCAGCATCTCCTTAATTTCTTCTCTGCCTTCTAGATGAACTAACATAAAACTCATGCATTCTAAGAATGTATTGTAGATGACTGAATGCTTTTAAAATTGAATTTAAGAGTAGTTTATTTGCAGTTTATATTCATTTCTATGGCTGCTATAACAAACTACAACAAACTTGGTGACTTGAAATAACAGAATGCATTGTTTCGGTATGAAGTATGTTTCAGTATGAAGAACACAAATCTGAACCAATATCAGTAGAGCCAAATCAGTGTGTCCATAGGGATGAATTTATTTGAGAAGCTCTAGGAGAGAATTCATTTCTTGCCTCTTCCAGCTCCCAGTGGCTGTCAGAAATCCTTGGCTTGTGACCTCATCATCCAGTGCTGGTCCACGTGATCATATTGCCTTCTTGTCTGCCTGTGTCAAACCTCTCACAGCCTCTCTGCTATAAGGACAGTAGTGATTACATTCAGAGTCCTCCTACATAATACAGAATAATCTCCCCACCTCAAAATCTTAAATCACATTTGCAAGGACCCTATTTCATATAAGGGATCCTTTACAGGTTCCTGGGATTAAAGTCTGATATCTTTTAGCGGCCATTATTCAGCCTACCACACCCTTAGAGTTAGGTCCTTTGGTTTAATAATTTTGTAGCAAAAAAAAAAATACCAAAGCCAATTAAAATCAGGAAGAAAACTAATATCTCTTTTTTATTCATTAAGTTTATTGGTACATTTTAGGTGTACATTATGATCACATTCATCACTGGGAGTTTCTATCTGTACATGATATATTTTGGTTCTTGGTTTTTCCCTATTCTCCTTCTCTTCCTTCCACCCCTCCACCCCTCCCTACTTACAAAAGCTTTGTTTTCATTTTTCCCTCTTTTCTCATATTTTTTCTTTCCCTTCTTTCCTTCCCCCCCTAGAATATTAATATCTCTTATTCAGGAAATTCAAATATCCAATAACCAGTCACAAGTCAAGAAATAATGCAAAACAGATATCACAAGAGTTAGCCAAGAAAAAAGGCATCATAGAGTTTAAAATTACCAAAAGGATACTCTGTAAGTCAAAAATGTTGGTATCATTTTTTAATATGTCCCACAAGATCAAAAGACTATTTCAAAGTAAGAAATCTGGAAAGGCCATAAATGCAGGCAAATTTTTTCCTAAGGAAAAGTCTTCCTAGTGGCATTTGGCTCTAAGGTTAATCCTAAAACTACAGGTAGAAATAATATCCATTCCTTCTATGACAAGGTCAGTTAGGCCACAGGCAGACTATGTTCTGTATAGGCTGGAATTAAGCATAACCAGAAAATGACTTGGCCTTGGGTTTACTATGTATCCAGGAAACTGGGGTGGAATCCCTAAGAAGATAGAAGTTTCCTTCTGAAGGTCAAATCATAAAGAGAATATATAAAGTCTGAACAGAGTATTATATGAGACAAATGATCACTTGGTGAGTATACTCTAAAAAGGAGAAAAGTTCTAGTTTTAAGAGTTTGAGTTGAATATTTTTTCATCTATTTATTAGCCATTTATACTTCTTCATCTGAGAAGTGTCTGTTCATTTCAGTTGCCCATTTTTTGATTGGGTCTTTTATTTTGAGAAGTCTAACTTTTTTGAGTTCTTTATAGATGCTAGATATTAGTTCTTTGTCTCAGGAATAGCTGGCAAAATTTTTCCAGGTAGGTTCTTTCTTTACTCTGTTGGTTGTTTCTTTTGCTGTGCAGAAGGGTTTTAATTTCACATGATCACTTTGTTGATTCTTCATGATATATCTTGGGAAATTGTGGTTCTGTTCAGAAAGTTCTCACCTATGCCTATGTCTTCAAGAGTTTTACCTATTTTATCTTCCAGCAGATTAAGTGTTTCTGTTTTAGCACTTGATCCAGTTTGATTTTGGTTTAGTATATGATAAAAAACATGGGTATAGATTCAATCTTCTGTATGTGGATAGCCAGTTTTCCCAGTATGATTTGTTAAAGAGACTATCTTTCCTCTAGTATATGCTTTTGGCCCCCGTTGTCAAAGATCAGATAACTAAATGTGCCTGGGATTGTTTCTGCATCCTCAGTTGTGGTCCATTAATAAACATGTCTGCTTTTGTGCCAGTACCATACTGTTTTTATCACTGTAGCTTTGTCATATAACTTGAAGTCCAAGGTTATGATGCCTCCCACTTTACTCTTATTGCCCAGAATGCACCTTGAGACCACAATGTCAAGTGAAATAAATCAGACACCCAAGCTTAAATATTGCCTGGTTTCTCTTCTATAAGAAACCCAAAACATAAATAAAGGGCAAAATAAAAGCTAGATAAGGGAAGGGCATCAAAAAAAGGAGGAAGGAGGGCTAAGGGTTTGGCTCAGTGGTTCCACCGCCTGCCTTGCAAGCACAGGGTCCTGAGTTTGATCCCCAGTACTAAAAAAAAAAAAAAAAAAAAAAAAAAAAGGAGGGAGGAGAGAGAAAGGAGAAGGAAAGGGGATT